TCCTTCCGTGGCACAATCTGTACTTCTGGTACTCCCGCAGTGCTCTGTCAGACAACCTTGTTGAGGGCTGCACTGTATTTCCCATGTCTGCTACTCTTTATGTCCTGGCTGTGGAATTTAAGGTAAGAACAAGCAAACAGGATGGATTCACGCTTTTCAGGTGTGTTAAGGCAAGCCATTAATTACAGAAACATTAGCCCTCATTCACATGACTAACAGCTGACCCGTACAGATCCGTGCTGCGTGCACGGCCGTACCTGGCCGCTTCCGGGAAGGACAGGCTGTTGCGTGCAATCACACGCAGCACTTGTCTTTCCCGGGAGTGGCCCGATACGGCCGTGCACGCAGCACGGATCTGTACGGGTCAGCTGTTAGTCGGGTGAATGAGGGCTAAGTGTGAATGGATCCTGAAGGCTATGTCTGCTAAACATTCTCTAGTTTTGATCTTAAAGTGACATTAAACCCTCAGATTTTTTAACATAAAATAATACTGTAATGTGTGCCTTACTGTAATCCATGGTAGTTTCCCTTCTCTTTGCTGCTCTTCCTTTTAAATCTGTATCTGTTCTCATGCTGGGCAGAACTTCTGTTTTGCAGCAGACTGCCTTGTCTCTGAAATGGATACACAGTGTCTGTGTGTAGGTTTGCAACCTGAGCCAGCACTACAGGAAGAGGCACTCAGCTGCAAAGGGAAGTTCTCCCCAAGCATGAGAAGACATGAGGATTTAAAAGGAAGAGCAGCAAAGAGAAGGGAAACTACCATGGATTACAGTAAGGCACACATTACAGTATTGGTTTATGTTAAAAAATCTGAGGGTTTAATGTCACTTTAAGTAACAGGCAAAGAAAGCACGAATATGATGAAGGATAAACTTAATTTCTCTTTTATTCATTGAAGGACTCATTCCTTCAGTGAATTCAGAGAAAAGGATTTTACAATACAATTTTATTGCCTGCTCATTGATTACTAGACCCAGATTATTTACACTAACGAAGAACCTTCTTTATCAAGTACTGAAAAAAGAACTATTGATTTTGTTACAGCCATTAACTAATTTTTGTGTCTAAAAACAGTTTAAGGACAACATACAAGCATCTTGTAAAGTACACAAATAAAGAAATCCAGGGAATAAAAAATGGACAAAACAATCTGTCATTGATACATTGTAGCGTGTGGTAACACGGGCATTCGAGTGGTTTGGGATATAACAACCGCTGATTATACCAGCTTACAAAGAGAAATATAGCATGGGGAAATCTAGACCCTCCTAACAAGTAAGGCCCTGAGGATAAGTGTGGCTCTAGGGCAGCGGTAGGCAACCTTGGCACTCCCGCTCTTGTGGTACTACAAGTCCCATAAGGCATTGTAAGATTCTGTCAGCCACAGGCATGATTCTGAAGCAGAGGCATATGGAATTTGTAGTATTAGCTGGAGTGCTGATGTTGCCTCCCCTTGCTCTGTTGTTTACTGTTCAAAATGTTTATATATATATATAATATATTGCTGAATACTGCACAAGTTGTTTTGTGTAATAAATTAAAATGTTTCAGAACTGAAATCATTTTTGGGTCACGCCTTAATGACCAAGGAAACATGTGGGTCCGAGGTTACACAGGTTGAGAACCACTGCTCTAGGGTCTTGCAGATAGTGTATTGCAGGAATCATATTGAGCCCATATTGTCTGAAATTCTGATGACTTGTAATCTGTTGACTACTGGGGTAATGAACAGTAATCAGCAGGAGAGGTGTACACATCCACGGAATGAGGTAGAAGCAGGGAGATGCTTGCACTGCAGGTCCTCCAGTTCAGCTTTCTATCTTGGATAGAGAACAGTGGGTAGCACAGTAGTGACTTCGTAAAATCCCATAAGACTAGCAGTCAAAGGAAGCAGATGATCTCGCATTGCAGGTATACAGCTTTAAGTGTACAGAACAGTGCTGCACAGTCGCATGTTTTCCCGAGTGATCCCTCAGTTCTCATAGCTGAGCTGGTATAAAGCAGGAAAACAATAAAACATTTTTCATGGTCCCTACTTTGGATTATGTAGATCTCACCATACACGTCACACACTTACCATACAATCTCTGTACAATCAGTGTGTATCCAATCAGGCAGGCCCTTGCACTACATAGTTGTTGGTAGATCTGCAAACGTTTGTACAGGCAGCTTGTGACATGTGTGGTAAGCGTATGCTTTTCTGTGTGTCTAAACAGATCCCTGATAGTTCCCCTTATCTGCAGTCCCTGTTATGGATGAACAGGAATCCTCTATGCTGAATGTTCCTGTTCATAGCTTGTGGAGATAGTATGTTAACTATAGCCACAATCATGCATTAACAGGAAGTGATGTAGAGCACTTCCTGTTCATTCATAATTGGGGAAACTGTAAACATACTCTGTCCTCAATTATTTACAAGCACTCAGTGATCAGCTGATCGCTGACTGCTTGTTCCCGCTCTCCATCCTGACTCGCTGTCATAGGAGGCTAAGCCGGCGGTGCGGGGAGGGAGGAGAGCTTGGTCTATTTTGACAGCTGACTCCTCCCCCACATCACTAGCTCGGCCTCCTGTGACAGCTGTCTCTGCCCCCACACCGCTCTCCATCCTGATCTGTCACAGGAGGCTGAGCGGGGCAGGCCTCCTGTGACATCACGGGTCACAGCGCTCTCCTCCCCGCCCCGCTCGTCCGCCTTAACGTTTCTCTCCTCCCCACTGGATGCTGCGCTTTGTCAGAGGAGACATAGGGCAGCACCCAGAGGGGAGGAGAGAAACTAGGAATGCACCGCAATTTTCGGCTAAAAGATGGCACTTTCGGCATGTTGCCCAAAGTGCCATTTTCGTATGTTATATTTCTGCGGCTGAAATTTCAGTGCATCCCTCATGAGGAGTCTAGAAAACAGTGACCAAACGCAGGGAGGGAAAGGAGGTTGTCAGAGGATCCATCTTTGCCAAAATCAATAAATCCAGGGCCTCGCAGGTATAAAAATGAAAAAGCAGCTATGAGTGCAATACTCGTCTTCTCTCCAGCACTGTCCCGCACAGTCTTGCCATTCTCTGCTCCAGTGATTATCCTCTTCCGGGGTCAGAGATGCCATCATCCTATGCACCTTCTGTGAGGCCTGTCCAACAGAAACCAGTCCCCTAGGGGGTGAGTCATTATCCTCATTGAAGATGGTCTTTTAGCCTTTAACTTAGCATGCTGGTCTATAATCTTCTTTCTGATCTCCTCCGACAGCTCCATGTTCAGTGTGGTGCACACGATGATATCAAACAGCAGAGAGACTTCATTCATATAGTCTGACTGACTAATTACAAGATTGAAGACATTTTGATACTAACTTAAGAAAACAGTTTAAAGGAGAACTATGACATGAGTGATTTCCACTCACGTCATAGTTCTAAGCCGACCTGTGACAATGAGACTGTCACAGGTCGGCTCAGTAGATCGGGAGGTGAGGGAAAACATACCGGGTTCCCTCACCTCTCGATTCTGTCATGGCTCTCTGCCGTGACAGGGGGAGGGGCTGGATTCCCCTCTCCCCGCTCCGATCTGCCAGCGCTGACTGGCGGAACGGACAGGGGAGGGGGCGGGTACAGCTGGCTCTGCCTCTAGATAGGCAGAGCCAGCTGTCACTCACGCAGCTGGGCAGATCCCGTCATCTAAGTCGGGATCCGCTCCAGGTGCGGCGTCTCAGTATACCGCGAGCTGTAGCTGTATACTGAGCTTGGGGTAACGGGAGGACGCTAGTTTGTGTCCTCCCGTTACCCTAAAGAGAACTATGGGGAAAAGCCCTAACCCCATAGTTCTCCTTTAAACTATCACACTGATCCAGTTATATATAATCTTTTCCAGCGGTACCAACACATCTATCCAGGCATTTTATAATATCTTTGTAGAATAATATATTTCTTTTCACGCTTTATTTGCTTTACTTTATGGCATACGAAAGGCAAGCAAGTATACATGAGACAATCACCTTTCGCCCTCTTTAACTCGAATAACAGCCGGCTCGTACAGATCCGTGCTGCGTGCACGGCCGTATCGGGCCGCTCCCGGGAAGGACAGGTGCTGCATGTGATTTGTACGAAGCAGCCTGTCCTTCTCTATGGGAGTACGCCACCGTGCGCTCACGCAAATTGCACGTCCGTACGGGAGCGGGTGTCCCTGCTTGGACGCAGACAGGATCCATCCTGTCAACGTACGAGTACGGACGTGCAGTTTGGGTGAGCGTATGGCCACGTACCCCCATGGAGAACAACAGGCTGCTGCTTACAAATCACATGCACCACCTGTGCTTCCCAGGAGCGGCCCGATGCAGCTGTGCACGGAGCTGTACGGACCGGCTGTTATTCGTGTGAATGAGGGCTTCAGGAGGAATGAAGCATTGTTTCATTGCGCTGTAAGGGTACCAAGAAATTTGTCCACGTCTATAGTATGATTTACAGCGGGTCATGCTGTCGGTAAAATGTCGGGATGATCAAGTCATTATGTTTGCCAGTTAAAATAAAGCATTGAAATAATTGTCCTGCAGGAGGCTGTTCTTTTCCTCTCTCTGTGTTATCTCCGAGTTATTTAATATACATCGTTTATCTGTTCCTATAAAAGCCCTGGCCTCTTCTATTGGAGTCACGCTTCATGCGTCTTCAACAGCGCCTACCCAGCCCCATTATACCTTCTGCCTGCACGGTGGCCTGTATGTGCCGATTACATTCTGTACCCTGATAAATACATCACCTTTTAAAATGCCGAGAACATTTCTGCATGTGAATATTAAATGAAATTCATTTAAATGTAGTACGGAAGCAAAGAAAACATTGGGGGAAGAAATTGACTCGAGCATGGGAGACCTAGAGAGAATACAATGGTGGCTAAGAAGGCTAGTTTTTATCAAACCTTTTATGACATTACCAATAAAATGTATTTCCACGCATTGTGTGGAGGAATCCTGCTACATTCACTAATGTATATTTAGAAATCTATATCCACTAGCAAGGACTGGTCAGCTGAGCAAATGAAAGCAATATATAAAAAAAACACAGCAAAGCAGCTTCAAAGGGAGAACTGGAACAAAAGCAGAGCAGTTCCTTTTAGCAACAACACCAGTTGTTTGTGTCATGTGAAAGAGGGGAACCTGATTTTATAATTGCCAACAGTTCCTTATTTGTCATACATGTAAACATCATACTTGCTAAAGCTCTAAATATAATCAACACTTTCCATTTAGTTATGTTGTTTTTACCTTTTTTTTTTTACATCTGAGTGGTGCTGAACTTCTACATCCTTGTTCTGGTTGGCACTGGTACATGGCTGTACAGGCACTGGTTCTGGTTGGCACTGGTACATGGCTGTAGAGGTTCTGGTTGGCACTGGTACATGGCTGTACAGGCACTGGTTCTGGTTGGCACTGGTACATGGCTGTACAGGCACTTGTTCTGGTTGGCACTGGTACATGGCTGTACAGGCACTTGTTCTGGCTGGCACTGGTACATGGCTGTAAGGGCACTTGTTCTGGTTTGCACTGGTACATGGCTGTACAGGCACTGGTTCTGGTTGGCACTGGTACATGGCTGTACAGGCACTTGTTCTGGTTGGCACTGGTACATGGCTTTAAGGGCACTTGTTCTGGTTGGCACTGGTACTTGGCTGTACAGGCACTTGTTCTGGTTGGCACTGAGAGTGGTTCTGAACTTCTACATCCTCTTTAGCTACTTCCTACATGCATTTACTTCGCTGTTGGCTGCTCTTCATTGCTCTGGACTGGCTTCCTTAGACCTAACTCAGACAGGCAGCAGCCTCCACTGCCTTCTGAAAAGCGATCCTCAGTTGATCACTTTTCAGAGGGCGGTAGATCAGCGGCTGCTTGGCATTCAGGAGGCATACTGGCAGCTCCCGAATACCGCGCTGTAACCGTGTACGCACACCCATTTGTTGCAATTATCGCCTGCCATGCGAGACATGCTGTATATTTTTTGCTGCGACACAAAGTGACCATGTGAACGAGGCCTTATAGTGACAGCGGTGGAACATGCCTGATCATTGAGGGACACCGATCTGAAGAATTCTAAGGCGCAGGGTTATGCTGCTGCCTTTAGGAGAAATGAACACTAGGCAAATAAAGCCCTCCCACCTCATACCTGCCAGTCAATGTCTTCAAGAATCTTAAAAATGAAAGCAGCACAAATGTTAATTTTTACAGCACAAACGTGGCACTAACCAACCAGCCCGTTTTCATGTCTTCAGGCTGTTGTAGGGGGGCTGGGTGACCTTCGTCGACCTTTAATAAATAGTTAATACCTCGAAAACTAAAAGAGATAGAATGGAGATATAAACGGCACAAACCAGCACAAACGTAGCACTAACTAACCAGCAAGTTTCGTGTGTTTTGGCTGTTGTAGGGGGGTTGGGTGATGTCATCATCTTAAAAAAAACTATTTCTGTGATCTTAAAAATAAAAGCAGCACAAATGTTAGTTTTTGCGGCACAAAACAGCACAAACCTAGCACTAAAGAAACACACTGGAATTTTTATTTGTGCCGATTGAAGGGGTTTTTTCAAGCTATAGCTGTTGCCACATACAATGACAGATTCCCTTTAAAGCTTACATGTTATAGTTTATAACCTATATAAATACCTGTACTGCTTAACTTTGGGCAGATATAAAAGACACAAATTAATGCCGTGCTGTGATCATTGGTGCATCATTAAGTTAGGGCTGGACAAAATGCCAGGGGCCAGGTAGCCAATGCTCTTTAAACGTTACAGCTGGCTCTGAATGTTTGATGTTTTCTCTAGTTGTTGTCGGTGAAGCTGGCTCCTAAAACATCCTGCTGGCTTCTGAATTGGACAAACTGGCTCTTGAATTCCACATTAGTTGTCCCCCTCTGCATTAAATGTATTTTGTAAATGCGAGCAGAGTGAGTACCTGAATTTGACTCTTGGAGTCCTTGCTATGGGCTTCCTTGATTGGCCCAGAGCTGTCACATGAGTGAGTCATGCCTAGATGTACTGGGTATTTGTTTTGCCTTCGAACACTGATCACAGTGACAGTGGACCTTAGCAAAGTGAAGTATATGCTGCTGGGGATAGGGAGAAAGGTAAACCTCTGGCTCTGATTAGGCAAAGCATGGTAAAAAAATGCAAAGTTTACAAAGTTTTAAAAAAACATTTGATTAATTGATAAACTGTTTGTCTCTTATCAGGATCTTTGGAGGATCCGGAGTCCGTGTGGAATCTGTGAAGGGTTTGATGTCTCCATTATGGATGCAATGATCAAGGTTTCAGTATCACTTTTACTCTGTCTGTTTGTAATCAGTAGCTATACAGCTGATGCTGGGCTCTAGGGTAATGGTCTTTGATAAATATCCACTATCCCTCAACCTTCTGCTTCGCAGCACATTCAGATTGACAACACAGATGTCTGTAATACCATGTATTACAGATACCATGTACATTTCACATCATTGTTTTATAATTAGACTCTGTTCACATGTGCATCGGAAATGAACAAATGATAAACACCCATTAATGCTCCTATTGCCTCAGCCCGAAACACCCTCTCTGTGTTGGTTTTCCCTGTTTTTTAAAAAAAGGGGCCGTGTTGTCACTGGTACATGGCTGTACAGGCACTTGTTCTGGTTGGCACTGGTACTGGCTGTACAGGCACTGGTTCTGGCTGGTCATGGTACTTGGCAGTACAGGCACTGGTTCTGGCTGTACAGGCACTGGTTCTGGCTGGCCATGGTACTTGGCTGTACAGGCACTTGTTCTGGTTGGCACTGGTACATGGCTGTACAGGCACTTGTTCTGGTTGGCACTGGTACATGGCTGTACAGGCACTTGTTCTGGTTGGCACTGGTACATGGCTGTACAGGCACTTGTTCTGGTTGGCACTGGTACATGGCTGTACAGGCACTTGTTCTGGTTGGCACTGGTACATGGCTGTACAGGCACTTGTTCTGGTTGGCACTGGTACATGGCTGTACAGGCACAGGTTCTGGTTGGCACTGGTACATAGCTGTACAGGCACTGGTTTTGGCTGGCCATGGTTCTTGGCTGTATAGGCACTGGCTCTGGCTGGTCCTGGTACTTTGCAGTACAGGCACTTGTACTGGCCGGCACTGGTACTTTCAAATGTAACATGCTATATAATTTCTCTCCCGTTCATTGAAGGACACAGGGAACAGATCGGAGATCATGTACTGTAGGGTAATATCGCCACCTGCAGGAGAAGGACGCTAGGCACAAAAAAACTAAAGACCAATCACAGCCTAGGGGCTGCCCCTGCCGGTGGCCAAACCCCCCACCTGCTGACAAGTCTCCAGTTTTTTGCCTAACGTCAGGAGTAAGGAGCTAAGAATTTTTTCTCGGTATTCTTACCTGCTTCTTCCTGATTTTTTTCAGAGGATTCTTCTAGCAAGTGTTGTCCGGGCGACAGGCTGGATGTCTCGGATCCTTGGAGTCTCCCCTGGATGACCAGCGAGCGTATGCAGGCCCGCTACGGTGGGTCGGCTACGACGGCCCCGCTCCGGCGGGGTGGCCTGTGGGTTCGTCCCAGGGGGGTGCATATGACTGGGGGTCTCGGCCGCCCAGTCACAGCACTTCCCTCAGGCTGCTGGCGCCGCGGCTGCGGTCGGGGGCGCCAGTTTTCCGCAAGCACCTGTGGGTTTCTTTGATGTCCCCTACACTGCTTTCGGCATGGAGGGGGGTGCCTGGTCTGCGGATGGTTGCGTCCTCCTGGGGTATGTATGGGATGGGGGGTCCGCTGGCGCGTGCCTGGATCCTTTGGCTCCTGCCCTCTCTCCCCTCCCCCTCCCCCTCCTCCCCCTCGGTCACCTTCTGGGAGTCACGTAGGGGTGTTGTGGCCCTGTGGGTCCTTACCTGAAGGACGGCTCAGGGTGTGCCAGGTTGCGGTGGTGGGCACTTTCCTCGGCTCTGGGGGCGGCCTGCGGGTGCTCCTGGGGTGTTTCGGGGTCGGGCTGAGCTCCGGTTGCCGATCGGGGGTTTTTGGCTGCTGCTGCCTGGTTCCGTTCGCGGGGGCCGCTAATCGAGCCCCCGGCTTCGTTTGCGGCCTTCTCGGAGGCCGCGGCTGCCATCTTTGGAGTGGGTGCGTGCGCCCTCGGTCTGATGTCCTTCAGAGGTTTTTACTCAAACCTGTTTACGGTGCCAAAGAAGGATGGGGTGCGCCCCATCCTGGACCTCAAGCGGTTGAACGTCTTTTGTGCGCGTTCGCCGGTTCCGGATGGATTTGATCCGCTCTGTGGTGGCGTGTCTTCACCAGGGGGATTTCATGGCCTCCCTCGACATCAAGGATGCCTACCTTCACGTTCCTGTTTGTACCTCCCATTTTCCCTGTGTCCTTCAATGAACGGAGAGAAAAGGATTTTACGGTGAGTACCAAAATCCTATTTTTTGCTGCGATTCAATGCCACCACATGTATATACTGCCCCAGATGTGTTTGTATGTGGTTGGTGCCTTGTTTTGCTGCATGTGTGAACAAGGTTTTAAACCGTAATTGTGCGCATGTTTATAGGAGAAAAGAAAAGTGCTGCCCATACCTGGTTATCAGTACGGTTCAGCACATACCAATGTACAAAAGGAGTAGGGAGAGTAGAGAGGGGCTGCAGTGTTACCCAGTGATGTAAAAGAAGACACCCCTTTAGATATACATACTCTTTTGCTCATTCCTGCAGTCCAAAGGAAAGCTAGCCAAGAAACTATACACATCCAAATAGATAGCAGGGATGTTTTCTTTATATATAACTCTGCAGAGAGCTCTTTGTCTGCAAACGTCTTTATCTGCTAGTAGACAGGAAATTTGAACTGGCAGAATCACTGATGATTATGAAACCGTTCTCCGAATACAGTAGGAACATTGATAAAGATGAAAGATTATGTTTTCAAATATGCTTGGTTTGCTTGAATATAAAAAGCTAAGCTGTGTTTGAAATGCAACGTATTCCTTTTAAGGATATCTAAACCCAACAACAAAAATGTAATATGTTGCAGCTTTTTCTGTCCTTAGATGTGGCGGCTGCATTCGTGTTCATTTTCACCAAGTACAGACAATACCTGTTTATCTTGCCAAAAATGCTGTGCCCAATACCATGTGAGCTGAACTAAAAGTATGATATTGTCTTCCTTGTGTAAACTACTAATCCCCCACCCCATGTAATAGAGATGAAGTGAGGCAGGCATGTTCGGAGTACACTCTGGGTGACAATTGTATCTCCCTCCATATATACAGTATAGTGAACAGGAAATGTGTTACTGGCAGGATCACCAGGTAAAAATAAAGAAAAAGCCTGAACAAAGAAAATTAATACATCTAAAGACTGGTACACTCTAATAGAATACTTTTGTATTTAGATACACTTTAAAGGTAACTTCCTTGTTCTCAGAATAAATATCCACATCTAAAATGGCTTCTAGTTCTACTTGGCAGTTGTACCATCATACTGAAGCGCTTCCTATACAAGCAGATTTGAAATCTATACGGCTGAGACATGTCTGTAGGGATGGTAGGCAATACCAGCCATATTTCACATTGTATTCTTTACAAAAGCCGAAAGATGACCATACACTATAAGATTTGTGAACAATTACTCGATTCCCCCATTCATGCTAATGTGCGTGGATGGAGGAATCTCCCCTGTCAGCTATCCTAATCTTCAAATCATGAACATTTTTCAGAGGTGTCTCTTTCTATCCTTTATGATAGACCCAACTGGATTTGTAGGTAGCTCACTGGTTTATGATTAGGCAGCTCAAAGACTCAGTACAATAGTTAGGAGGTACCGGCAGCAACTGGGGGACAGAAATTAGAAGAGCGCCAGACCAAAACGGATATCCGAGTCCATAGTACGTACACTGTACGTCGTCAGTCACGAAGGGGTTAAAGGAGAACTATGAGGCGAGTGATTTTCAGTCATAGTTAGAGCTGATGTGTGACAATGAAACTGTCACACCTCGGCTCTATTGATTGGGAAGTGAGGGAAAACATACCGTCGCTCGGGCACTTTCCGATCATCTTCCTGCAGAGCCCGCTGTCAATCAGCTAGCTAGGTGGATCTCGACAGTATGGTTGGGATTTGACCCGGCTGTGCAGCTCTCAGTATATAGCGAGCTGTAGCTCGCTATATACTTAGCTTTGCGTTAGGGGAGGACGCTAGTATATGTCCTCCTGTGACCCAAAAGAGAACTATGGGATAAAAAGTTTACCCCATAGTTCTCTTTAAATAATTGTGTCGCTCAAACATTCAACACGTTACAGAGGCAGAAGCAACCCCCTTCCTCAGGGCTTGGCCTGCCCCTTGCAGAATACCTGAACAGTGGCAGCAGGCTGCAGTTACTATTTGGCAAACAATGTTTCATGGCAGGTACAGCAGGACGGCGCATGGATCAACTTTCAGCCAATTTAGCAGGAAATAACCGAAATTCAATCCGTGTTTGTATAGCTTTAGATTTCTATTATAATAATGCTGACCAAGCATATGTGCTTTTCTGGATAAGGCTGCCCACCCAGCACCTCATGTTTCTGCAATCTCTGGGTTTTAAGAAGGACTTTGAAAGCATGAACCCGCTATCCTTTGTGTTTTTTGTTACACCGCTCTATTTGCAACAGAGATTGGAATAGTAAATGATAGCCTTCCATGTGCAGGTGCTGCTGCAGTTTACAGAAACAATGAAATTGCAGTTGCTCCCTACCTGTAATGTAATTATACTGATGATTTGTATCCTGACCAGAGTTCTAAACAGATTGACTTCTATAATGATTTCCACTGAACTCATTGTGAACCTGATAATGCCGCCAGAATTACAATATGATGCCATTCTGTCAGTAGTAGGTGGATATCAGGTTTTTTGAAGCTGAACTCCAAGTGGATATAAAATAACACCAATGAATGACATTATTTATTCGTTAAAACAAAATCATTAAATGTATTATAACTGTATGTAATGTAAATACCTGAATTTGACATGTTTTCAGCCTCTTGTAATTCCCTGTAAAGGAGCACTGGGACCTGCAGAGGCAGCATTTGGGGGCAGTTAGGTATCCTGCATTCACATGTGATTATGAGAAATATGCAAGTATAGGCCATATTTTAATATAGAGCCTTGATAATATTAAGATGACATCTGTTTTTAGTATATTGACCACAAACTGATATAGCAAAATATATGTGATTTTTTATATAGTTCTGTATGTATACAGTCCAGATTATAGAACATGAGTAGATGTCAATTACAATGCCTATGGCTACGGATGCACCGATAACGGTTTTTCGGTAACGAGTACTGATATTTTTTTCACCGCATACTAATACTTGAAGTCCCTTTAAGGAAGCGTGTAATGACTCGCCACCTGGCTTCCTGATGTGAAGGGAAACAGTCTTCATGGTCTCTAGTCACCTGGTAACGAGGAAGCAAAGATTTTGGCCAATCAGGAAAGTGGGGCGTAGGTAATGACTCACCGCCAGGTTGGCCAGCTTCCCGACCATTCAGGAAACCGGGCAGCAAGTCATTATATGCTGCCCAGCTTCCTGATTGGCCAGGAAGCTGGCTCCTTGCTCCCTCGTCACTTGATGCCGGCTAATCAGGAAGCCGGGCAGTGTGTAATGACTCGCCACCCAGCTTCCTGATACCGGATTTCCTGTATCGGGATAAGCATTGGGAGCATTTGGGCGAGTACTCGTACTCCCCCAAATACTCGTTATCGACACCAATACTAGTATCGGTGCATCCCTACTTATGGCAGAACAAGCCAGTGGTATGTGTAAGCACTGGTTTTGTCTACGTTCCACCTCTTACAACTCATTGCTGTGAATTAGCACACTGCATTTAGGGCACTCTTAATAAAGGAATAGCCCCTTAGGGTACTTTGCCAGCCATAGACCCATCCCATGCATTTTATGAAGCTGTAATGGTGAACAGAGCAGTGGCTTTTGAAAATTGCAACCTGAATTAATGTAGTTTTGAAAAAGCGGGGGGAAAATGTGAAATACGTAAAAAAAAAAAAATGATAAAGAGAAAAAAAAAAACATTATCTTATGGAGGCAGCGGAAACATTACAGACTCCATTTACCTGTGGAATACCTCAGTGTGACTGTGAACTGCACTACTACCGGTAATTAAAGAACTTCGGGCAAAGAAAATCTTAGCCCTTGCAGTAGGGCCACCCCCACACTGCAAGGGTTAAGTATTTTAGACAGGTCCCTTCAGCCTCTCTCATCCTCAATATAGCGATGGTATGTCCCTCACCCTTTCATTTTATGTCTAGTGCTTGAAAGTTATGTGAAATTGATATATTAATTTGTATGATGTACTTCTTCTTTTTTTTTTTTTTTTATAATATGAAATATTTTTTTCAGAAATCCCTTGATTTCCGAGAATCCCAGGAGGCCGAGCCCCATGCTCTATGGGAATATCCCTGCAGAGCACTTTCTCAGCCAGTAAAGGTCATGACATTTGACTTCCGAAAGACGATCCCAGTTAATGATGTGAAGTCCGAGGGCTCTGTGAGCCTAGTGAGGTATGTAAATAATATGTAATGACACACACATTATAGTTTGTCCAATAGAAGCTTTTTGAGGGCCTCCTAAGAACTTACTTGCCAGTGTTTTTGCATAGTTTTCTGTAGAAAAACACACTTAAGCTGACATAACCAAGCAGTTTGTCTTCCTTGGCTGTGCCATGTTTTTTGGAGGAGACAAGAACTCTACGAAGGTCTGCTATCTCCCAGAAGGTGGTGACTGATTCAACCCACAGGCCTTTAATACGGCCCTTTAACAGGCCCTTAATATCATCAGAGGACACACCAGACCATATACAGTATATGCCTAGTTGGGAAACATGACTATTACACCTGTTGTAGAATGCAGTTAAGTTACTTCTCCTGAAAACTTCATATAGAGGAGGAGCCTGTATATTGAAAGTGTGAATAGTGAAGGTAATGGATCTCTTCACCTTTTATTGCTGCTGTTATCATATTTCTCCCTCTGATAGGTCAGGAAGGTGTCATGGGGTTGTACTCTGGATGGAATATCAGCTCACAGAAGACATTTCGGTCAGTACTGGCCTGTTGGAAGTGTCTAATGAGAAGGTGAGTTCCTGAGACAGAATAATAAAGCATTGTATGAAATGTGTGCTCTGTCAAATGTAATTGTCTGTGTTATTAACAGGGAAGTATAAACTGTTTAACCAGCAAGATTTTTAGATTTTCTCTATCTTAGAATTCTCTTTTATGCTCCTGTTCTCTTTTTGTCTTAGGGTTACTGCCAGTGGTATCCACACAGCAAGCAAGGAGTCTTCTTCCTAAATTCTGTCCTGGAGCTGGGGCCATCCTCTACGCAGACCTATAGCTCTGTCACCTATCAGCTGACTTTCAGTCCCAAACTGGGGGACATTGAAATGAATTTTCTCCCTAACCCTTAACACTTATCAACTCTTTTGTTTTTAGTTCCAAAGTAACTTAAAGGGCAACTCTTCCTGGAACAGATTTGAGCTTTGTGGATGGAGTGGTATAAGTTTTAATCAACTGCTGTGTCTTTACTGCTTGTGTGAGTTACTAATATTGATATCTAAGTCCACCACTGGCACTGTGAGAGGCCAATTCTGGATTTTTATTCAGGCTACATCATTGCAGCGAGTATGATGCAAGTGGTGCCCTGGACACCAGTAAAGAATCTGGAAAATGGAGAAGTACAATTCTGGATGTGCTGGCTCTTTAAATAGACCATTAAACATCAATCATGCAATCTTATGTAAAACTGATTTAACATCTTTCATCAGGAATAGGATCATGTTGGTGAAGCATCATACTTTTTATCAATGAGGCTTATTTTTAAAATAAAGATGTAAGAGAGGAAAGCAGTATTCCTAGGAGACAGCCAATTTCAATGTTTATTTTAAGATTTATGTAATAAAATATCTATTACTCTGCGCATCATGCTCATTCATAGAAGAAATGTTCACATGTAATGAACAAAATCTTGTTACTATGTGTTTGTATAGAGTGATCATGTGTAGAAAATAAGGGATTGTAATATTCACAGGCCCCATCACCAGTTCATTTTAAATGACCTTTTAATACAGCAAAATGAATAGATAATTGGAGCACCATTTGTTTTTCTTATATACAAATCTTGTTGTTCCAAGCACTGTCAAGTTAAAGTAGAACTAAAAACTCAAATGTTTTGCATACATCTACTGCTGGCAAGCTGTAGATATAAGCAAAAACATTAAACTAAAGTAACCAAACAGGTAATTATCTGTGTTTCCGCCGCTCGCTCCCGTTTGAAGATTCTCAAGCAGCCGTGAAGGATTATGGGGCGGGCGCATGCGCAGTAGAGATCTTTAGCCAAGAGAAGAGACACAGTGTAAGTCTATGCATGCAGCCGGGAACGAGCACGCGAACAGACTCCATGGTGCCGGTCTCTAAACCAGCACTGGAGGTACTCCTGAAAATTACTGGAAAGAAGATGATTGGATCAAGAGGCATCATTTAGGGCAAGTCCTTAAAGCAGCATTGGCGGGGGGGATTGTGACTTTAATGTCACTTCAACTTACATAGAACAAAATGTCACTAGCACACCAGACAATGTTGTCTAGTGTTCATCCTTTATTGACACATGTTGTCACATTGAAGCAACGTTTCAGGGCCGCGCAGGCTCTCCTTTATCAGGCCCAGTGCCTGATGAAGGGGACCTTTCGTTGCTTTTATTAAAAACTATCACTAAATTGATCTGAATTATGATATATGCTCTCGACACATGCAGATATTTGTTCAATCGATCAGAGGCTATCGTTTTGGCAGAGTCAAAGTCACTAAACCGATGGAAAGGATGATCTTTGGTTTGCAGTTTTTAGTCAATGACCTATTTTTCAATAAATTAGACTATGTTTGCACCTTGATTGCTTCTGTGTTTGCAACTTATATTTTATCATCTTACCAAGATTCTGACTCAGCTGGAATTCTCCCTATAAAGTCCAATTTGAGCTGGCTGGTTCTGCCCTCCTGTTGCCAGTGACACTAATTTTTCAGTGTCAGAATCGGTAAGTTCCCTCAAAACAGATCTCTCCACCTTAGAACTAGGCCTTAGACTTCAATTGTAATGGCTTGTTATAAGCATCAAATCGTATGTCCTGCATGAATCTAATATCCATACAGATGCGCACAGCACTCTGGTTGAGCTGCTTCGATTCTGATAAGATATCTATGGAGCCTCCAGCTTGCTTGACCTTTAAGGGATTTTGCCTCTTCAGGCCTGCATTTTACACCAGGATCAGTAATGCTACATGAGGATTGAGCATACTCCTCTCCCCAACATAGGAGGTCTAGGGAAAGGTCGGTTGAATCTGAACTTCATCAACTTCTGCATTAGGTGTCTCAGAGCCTCCGACTACCACTCAGCATGTAGGGCTTTAATTCAGGGGTCCATTAACATCCCTGAACAGCCTTCTGCATGAAGGTGTGCCTCTACTTCTACAAGTGCGGGGCTAATTGTGCATCCTGGCAAGTCCTTGGGTAATTTGCTTCTGGATTTAGTTGCAGAGAGCACCGCCCCCCCATAAGCACATAGGCTAATTCTTTGCTCTGGTGCTTCCATTGGTTGCTCTGTATTATCTCCCCTTGCTACTCCAAAGGACAATGCACTTTCCACAGTCTCCCTGGGTTCCTCCCACCCCTGGACCCCAAGTTTCAGCCTATGCGTTAATTGGAGCTCTGCCCCATCCATGCCCCCACACAGTTTCTTAGGTAGATTCCCTGTCTATGAGACATGAAAAGCTCATCAGGGTACAAAGTGCCTCTTAGTGTCCCTTGTCTCTGGAGGTACTCCCCAACCTTCAAGGTCACCAGCTCTGGCTGTCCGCTACCGGGATAAGGACTAGGATCCTCAATGTAGTCTGGGAGATTTTGGGACCTCTTCGCTTGTGAATTGGCTGTCCTGCAGCTTTTTGGGGACTTTTCTCCTGATGCCTTCCTTCGTTCTGCCCTTAACTGGGTAAATCTCTGAACAATTCTGCTAAGATTCTTGTCCCTCCATGGCTGTTGATGCTTCGCTGGACCTAGGGAAATCGGGAGTTCCTTCTTCCCTGTTTAGGAATTTTTAGTTGTTCCACCTGTTTTTGTGGGTTGTGGTTGATCTGCTTTTCACTGGCTAAAGTTAGTTGTTGCCTTCAGTGTAGAGTCATTCTCCTCTGGCGGTAACCTTCCCTATCCTGGTCTGAAGCATCAGGTTGATTCTCCATGCTCTCCCTTTGGTAGGTTCCCCTATCTGGTAAGGGGTTTCACCTCATCCATTTCAGATTTGTGCGTTGGTCCTTCAGGCAGCTCTGGGCTGAAGGCATCCCTGGTCCTTATAGTATGGCCGGTTAGTAGTTGCTCTGTTTCCACCCCTCAGTTTGACTGCTTTTGCACATCCCAGTTGTATCTGAATTTCTGTGTCCCTTAGTAAACGAGAGACAGAATAAGATTTTTGTATATATCGTAAAATCCATTTCTTGGAGTCCATTGATGGACACGGGTCCCGCTACTCTGTGTTTCTCTTCATGCTCTTTGTACTGCTTTGCCACAAAACTGATTTGTTTGCTGGTGCCCAATATTCCTTTTAGGCAGCTGTATAAAACTACTATATCTGAATTCCTTTATCACTCAATGGACTCCAACAAATGGATTTTTACAGTAAGTACAAAAATCCTATTTTTGGCCTACATTTTAATGTTGACTTCTGTCTGGATGAGTCAATTACTGCACAATCTCAGCAAACAGCCATGACTTATGCATACATAGCGGGGTCTCTTGGCCATGTTGGACTTTTTCAACCTCTGTCTAGTGTCTATGGCCAGCAGGTATATATGCAAAATATCATTAAAACTATTGGAGTTGACAAATTGTTTATCTTGAGTTCTTTAATGCGTTAATATTGTGCCTGAATGTGATTACGTGTGCTTTATTGTGTTTATATATAAGAATTTAACAGACGTTCCTGGAGTGAAAGCACAGGAAAAGGAAAAAAGAACACGTTTTTCAGAGGAAGGGTAAATGTTTTATTGTGTATCTCCTTAGGCATGCATTGTTACTGCTCCCTTGTTAATTTGTTCAAAGCACAAAATAGAGCAAGCAGCATCCAAAAAGAAGACACATTACAAATAAAGAAGAGAGAAAAGCAAACCTGTAAAGCTTGGTTAAAATGCATGTTAAATACATTTTTGTTTGCACTTCTGTGATGCCACACAAATGAACATGCAGATGTAATTATGGACATAACCTATGGGGGATTAGTAAACAGTGAAAAAATCTGACCATCAGATAATGTCTTGGCTGTTCAACAGCCATGCAGCCATCCACTATTGTATCAAATGGGCACCGTTTATACTGATAGGGAGGCTTCCTAGGACTGTAAAGATCCCCCTGACCTCTACTGCTTTTTTTCATATGGATGTCCACTGCCTCTGGACTTACCTCATTTGGGGGATGAGTGACTGAGTGATAGTGTCTGCATTTACACCAGCTGTAGGAGATTTATATATGGTCTTCCTGGTGGGAAGGTGGTGAGGCTGGAAGGTGCTCGGCGTCTCTCTCCTCCTCCCCCCACCCCCCAGCGTCGGTCGGTTGGCGTCTCTCTCTTCTTCCCCCCAGCATCGGTTGGTGTCTCCTTCCTCCCCAGCGTTAGTCGGTGTCTCTTTCCTTTTTTCCCCCCACAAACCCCGCCCCCCCCCCCCCCCCTTGGGACATCTGCTGGAAAACACTTACCTTTCCCCTCCAGCAGCTGTGCTCTGCTTCTGCCTTGAAAAAGAGTTTAAAAACCTTGCACGCACCTATTGAGGAAGGTACCAATTGCACAGGGGGACCCAGGACCTTACCAATTACACTGCACATAGTAATCTATAATAAAAAAAATCTTGCTTGGAGCCCCTCACATGAGTACTGGCCGTAGCTCCCCGATGGCGGCCCTGGCCGGGGACTCGGAGTTTTAAGTGCCTCCCCATTCACTTGCTCAACCCCATATGGGGTCACACACACTTTAAGAAGCCCTGCTATGGAGAACATGGCCAAATTTACCCACAGGCACAGGAAAGTTGTTGATATTTAGTTGATCATTCATCTGAAAACATTGTTGCAGTCTTTAGATCAGTATGGATAAGTAGAATTTTGGAGCTGTTTTCATTTAATATCCTGTGTATTCTGTGTTAACATATGCTTGTTGTCTGTAAGCAAAGTCCTGTTTGTTGAACAGGGTTACTGATATCCTATGGGCCCTCACTGTGTGTCTATGGACCCAAACAGTGCACCTACTTTATTTTTTATCTGGCCAAGGGTCAGTTGCATTAGTTTTGAACTTGAACATGCATTTGGGTGCTATGTTGACGTGCACCCCATAGCACGAATGTTGTACACCTGCCACACTACATAGGTGACAAGAAACTGCAAAGTGGAA